AACACTAGTCCTAACAGGCAGGTGGAGTAAGGCTGTTAGTTGGTGGAAGTAGCGCCCACGAGGTGCTCACCTGTAGATCTTTGAAGGTGGAGATCCTTGAGTTTATCTTCAGATATTCCAGGCAGGTGGAGATCAGCTCAGAGACGGACCGTGACTGTGCAGAACCTGCAGTACGCTCCTTTAAACATGAGACTGACTCGTCAATATAATTGATCTTTATTGATTTCCAATAAATCTTTGAATCAAAGTGAAAGATTTAAGTGTCCAGACAGTGTTTAACAAACACACCATGTAAATCAGACACAGCTGATGGACTACAACTCCCAGCGGATGGACTACAACTCCCAGCTGCCTCAGCAGAAAAAGCTCAAAGATGAGGCCGACACTGGATGAAAATGCAGAGTCAGTTTCTGCCCTTCAGGACTTTCCTATCAATAAAGCAAACTTGGTTTTCTCAGATTTCTGACACGTTACCAGGAAAACACAAACATTCAGTTTTTCCTTCTTAAAGGACGAGAACGAGCTGAAGATCTCCGAGAGTTACAATCAGGAGGACTCCATCATCGATGGAAAAAGAAGCAAACTAAACTATTTGCTTATTTTCCTTCTATGTTAGTGAGTAAACCTTTAAATAAGAGAAGAAACGTCACCATTAAAGCCTTTTTCTCACATATATAAAAATATTTTAATGCTTCAGTTCTGACAGACGTCCGTCACAGGATACAGTTTACAGAGCCGGCGTTTCCTCGCCTTCACTCCTCGTCCTGCTTCGGCTCTTCAAACTCCGTCTTTGTCAGTTCAGCTCCGGGTTTTGAGTCTCTGACATCGGATGGGGTCGGCGCCGAGTTTGGATCTGCTGCCGGTTCTTTGGGCTCCGCGTCAAACGCCAGGCTGCTCAATTCAGCCGTAATGTCGACCTCTGGCACCGGCGGCTCCTTCTGAGGAAGCAGGAAGTCCAGAGGCTCGAGGACTGCGGCGAGGTCGATGGAGCCCAGATGGCCGTACTTATGCAGCTGAGTGGGAGGAAGACCTGCGGAGAGACAACCCATTTGATTCAGACCAAACTTCTTAAGCTATTTTAGTATTACAAAGAATAACTTTGAGATAAGAGTCCAGGGCAAAAAAGTAAAAAGAGATTAAAGATTTTTTCTCTTTGAAATTAATTTTGTGAAGTTTTCTTTTCACTGACTGATTGGACCAAAGGTTCAACTTTACTACAGAAAAAAAGCTTGTGTGGTGATTTTGGTGTTATTAGTGCCCCCTACAGGCTGAAGCGGTCATTACTCCAAATTCAGACCAAATGTCCCAGTGGCTACGCCCATCTTTTATATACAGTCTACCATGTACGTTCATGCGGTTTCCACATTATTGGAATAACGACTTCACTTCCAGGCCCGTCGTTAAACTTCTTCAGCGTTACCGCGTCCGTTTTAAACGAAGAAACGAACAAAGTGGAAGTCAGACGTTGCTGCGAGTCCTCACCCAGGATGAGAGCGAGCTGAGCCGGTGGAAACAGGACCTGCAGGCAGCGGTTCAGGAAGGGCAGCAGGTCTTCGGCGTACGCACAGCAGAACTGAATAAACAGCTCCTTCTCCCGGCTGCTGAAGGCCGTCTCCTCCGCCCGGTGAAACACCAGAATCTGACGGGTCACCTGACAAAAAACGACACCGTCAGCAGCTGTTAATCCAGCATCAGTCTGACGTTAACCCAGATTACACCAAAGATCCAGCTGCTCACCATCTTCAGGGCGTCCTCCAGGCATTTGGTGACGTTCTCCACCACTCCGATGGGGCAGCAGAGGCGGAGGTCGTTGAAGGCCGTCAGGATGTTGTTGAGAAAGCAGGCGAGCGGCTGGAAGTCCAGCAGGGACATCGGGGGCTGCAGGGTGCCGGGCTGCAGGGCGGGGGCCACGACGGGGATGGT